AGAAAAGCTCCGGCGAAAGCGTTTCGATACGTTTCGATTGGCGGTAGGGCGAAGAGTCTGGCGCGTAGCGGAACGCATTTGGTATGTATTGACGGGCGGTTCGGCGGAGCGGTTGGGCGAAAAATTCTAGACCGCTCTGGCGTTTTTCTCTAGGGCGGAGCCAGCGAAATCAATACGCATCTATTGTTTTTCGCCGATATGCTGTTTAGTCAGGGTCGCAGACTGTGAACAATGCCCTACTGCGCATTCGATGTTTTGAAGAACGACTCTTTTTGCGAAACTTCTACATCTGTTTCAGTGAATGAATGAAAGTTAGAGCTCGAGCCTGTGCAAAAAGAGGTAAACCTGTGTGCGGTGGGCGTGGTGGAGTTTCTCGAGTGAAATCTGAGAGGTAAGCTGGTCGTTGCTATTGCATCAACATTCTTAAACACCCTACTGGTCTTTTAGTGATCATTCGTCTTCCCAAAGAAGCAGCTGTACTTCTGAACCATCTCATCATCCATCTACGAGCTCTACTGGTAGTCGTAAGAGACGGCTAGACTCTCTTGAGGTTAGGCCGCTAGTTGTTTCAGTAGATTTTGTAATGACATTGCACTGAAGACCGGCTGTACTTTTGTACTGATTTTTAAATCTTTGCCGTCTACCTTGGCTTCTTTTGTATTCCGCGTGCACGGCACGTGGGAAATTATGCTTCTCATCATGCCCATTTGAACCTGCCCCCAAAGGGGCTCACCTCTTTTACATTCCGTATTGCTATCCAGTCTATACAGTTGAGGGCAAGTAGCGCTACAGTTGCCGGCAAGTTCGTTACCTCTCCCTCCCGCGGTCTTCAATCCGCTAGCCCTCCTTTGTTGCCGTGTTCTTTAATTACCAGTGCCTGGATCAGCCATTCTGCCGTTGGAAAAGTTTTTTTTTTGCAAATACGACCCTCCACATAGTTCCTTCCTCTGGCGCGGTCCCTTGTCCATCCTAACTAAGACTTTCCCAATCATCCCCAAGTTCCCGCCATCCTCCAGTTACTGCTGTTTTTTTTCTCCGAAAAAAAATGAGCCATAGAGCTAAGGGAGAGGGTGTGTATACCGTAGATGAGACGGGAAAAGCCGAGACAAGTCAGTAATCTACATTTTCTCGAAGGCAAGTGTACCCCTCCCCCTCCCTAAAGCGACCAAATACGACCCCACTCGCTGGAGATCTACGGAGGACGTGCTCTGCTCTAGATGGGTTAAGCATTCAACCAAGTTACAATAGGGTACCTTAACCTTTGCGCAGAGACCCCAATCTAACC